TTATTTTGTAATCATGAAGTTTTTAGTAGCTCATTCCTATCTAATGTAGTCAGGGAGTCGATTTCCCGCGATGGAACATTGTGTGGTTCTGTGATAAAAAACATTTATTTTCTAGTAAGCTAGTTTTACTTGGAATTATTTTTATCCGCCTTTATTTTCATGTTAAATCATAAGTTAACTCCTAATAGATACAACAAATGATAATGTAATAACCCCTCTGACCATGAGAGCCTTTTTGATTTTTTTATATTACTGAAATAACGGTCATAGGTCAACTGAACTTAAGATAACAATTTTTTTGTATCATCTAACACCTTTTTTTTTCCTAAGTAGTGTTAGTCAAAGTTTCATATACATTAAGATACATACATCCAATCGACATTTTCCGATGTTTTCACGAATTATCCCGAAGAGATTACACGAATCTCATATAAACGTGTACAAGGTTTTAGTCACTTATTCCTTTTCTTATACGAGTGTCTATATAAAATAAAATATCAAATCAACAACTTTGTAAACGAAGGTGCCATAAAAGCAGCTCCTGAGACTGTTTTTTTTTGTAATACCTGTGTAACAGCGGGTTTTTATAAAGTTAAGGGACCAATAATAACTCGGCCACACACATATCTGATTTAAGTAAACCCACCGGGATTTTATTCACAAAAGTACACAATTTACTGCTGCGTAACGTATATTTAATAAAAGCTTCATTTCTTCCAATCCATCAACACTTAACACACATCATAGGACTAAAGATCGACCGACCTACTTTTGAATCTAAATAGTTTACTATTTTTTCTTAAGATGCAAAAACTAACTCAACTACAAGTCAATCCAGACAGATTTAATTTGAACGTAAAAAATAAAACTTGAAAGATGGCGTTCGTAATCGTAATATCCAAAGAAGTAAATGAAATTCGTGAATTCGGACAGATTTAATTTGAAGATAAAAAAAAAACAGGACAAAAATATAACTACTAGCTTTGAGTAAGATGGAGTATGTTATGAGAAACTCAAACTTCTCGTCTTGATTAATTTAGTTACTTCTTTTTAAGAGAGAGAGAAAAACTCAAACCTCTCTCTCTTAAAAAGAAGTAACTAAATTAATCAAGACGAGAAGTTTGAGTTTTTCTCTCTCTCTTTTAAAAAGAAGTAACTAAATTAATCAAGACGAGAAGTTTGAGTT